ATACCTATCACAGAACTCTGTTCTTACAGACAATGACTGTTCTTTTCTCAAGTAGAGTTGTGCTGAGAGGCTTTATATCCAGAAGCACATCAGGACACTCTTTGTGCCTCTGGACTGTAATTTTCATATGACAAATACTCTTCCCCCCTGCCCCAAAGTGTTACAAAATCTTACAGCATCTTAGATGTCAAGGGAAGAATGACAAAATGTCACATTTTGGCACTTCTCAATGAATTTCAGATTTCACCTTTAAATCTACTTAAAAATGGCTTTGCTACCTGGCTTTATTATACTACTTTTTTTTTTTTTTTCCCTTTTTTTTTTAATTAAAGCAAAACAAATGAAAACAGTAACATGCAAACTCATGACTGTAAATATTAATGATTCACTATGTAAAAAGTATTTAATATACAAGATGTTTAAAATACAGGAACACATTGGTTGACAAAGATGGATAATTACAAATGTAGATTATAAGAAATGTGAAATGCTAAGCTGTCTCAAATATCTGTCCTTCTACCATTATTTCTTGTTAATGTGATAACATTACTAATGCTTTTATATTTTCAATCTCAGTAATACATGACAAATACTACAGATACTTTGATTCTCTTTACTCTTTTTAACTAATCTCAAAAATACCTAAAAAACCCCTATAAAATAATGCATCTTAAATGTATTAACTGGTTCAGTTAATATAACTGGACGTCTATTTGCGCCAAACAGATCTAACCAAATTGGCAAAGATACTGTGCAAAAATGTACTTGTCAAAGTGCCATTTATCTAAGACTGGGTAATAAGAATCATCCTTGGTTACAGGTCGTATTGATCTGCTCTTACTGCTAAAGGAAATGCCCATTGCAAGGGGGAGAGAAGATGCTCCAGGGCCATGTAAGATAGCTTACATGAATAACCTTCTTTTAAGCAAAATAATTGGAAATATTTTCTAAAAATTGAGGAAAGAGTGGCAAAAACAACTTCGCAAATTACATGTGAATGTACAAACTTACATTTTCTTTACAACTTCCTCTGAATTCAGTAACTGCTTCAGCAGCTAAGTAGTACAGGATTGGGTCTGTAAATTATATAACTCTTAAGCACAAATTCAGAAGAGAGATTATTTTATTTAGTAACACATTAATTGCTTCTTTGTCATTTTGTACATCAAAAGTGCCCACCATGATCTTTTCTTTGAAATCCATGAAAAGCAAGCAATAGAGCAAAGACTGTTGTTAAGTCAGTTAACTCCTCTGATTTTTAATTTATTTATCAGATGCAGTAGATAACCACAGATCTTTTAATGACAAACATGGTCTCACCGGTAAACGTGAAATACAGCCTGATGAGGATATTAAAGCAGGTAATGAAATTCTGAAAGCCAGTATTGTTGATTTGATTTTTATGTTTAGTAATTTATTTACTGTTATTAATTTCACCAACTACCTAGATACAAGGTTATTCTTGCACTTGAACAAAAATTCTAACAAGCATGTGAAAGGAAGAAAAATTAAATTTGGCCATTCAGTGTGCTCTTTATCATAGTTTAAAATATCTTGGTGCCTAGGGAAAAGTACCATAATTATGTTGTTTTTAAGGTATAATAGATCATATTACTTCAATAAACCTAGTTTTTTCTTTTCATATATTCAAATAAATATTTCAAATGTCACCCTAGACACTCAAGAGTTAATTATTTTCAGCAAAGAAGTGAGCCCATAAAGGAATCTTTCAGTAAGGAAAGTTATAGAAATTGGCAAATATTTTTTTTAATTCTGATACTCCAGAACTGAAACTAGACCTCAGAACTGGATGACACTGTCCATGTTGTAAGGGTCTTCACTCTTTAAAAAAAAAAATCAATCCATGTTAACTCTCACAATATTTCCTATATTTAAACAAGATTATCTTCATTAAAAGATTGAGAACCTGGTCAAAACTGAAGTCAAGTCAACATATTGTTTTGAGGTTGCATGTATCAGAATTGAGTAAATGGCAGTGAAAAGGAAGCAGCCTTGTTCTGGATTCATCATCCAAAGCTGGGCCTCTACAGTTTGTGCCTAGACTCCTTTATGAGGAGAAGCTAGCACTTTTAGGATTTACTTTAATACCGACTTCAGGATAAGATGTAGAAACTTTTAGGGAAAAAAAAATGTTTCTCCTGAGGAGAAACTAAATCTGCTGCAGATACCTGAAGTGAGCTGGGATGAATCTGATCTCTAGACTGCCAGGGAGTGACCTGTTCTCACTGCAGCCAAAGCCAGTGGCTGTCCTCCAGGCCTAGGGGGAGAACAAAGTCCCAGCTCCCAGCTCTATTTTAAATCCATCCAGCACAAAGCAAATGTTGCTAACACTAAGGAAGCTAATAAATACAGGAAATGTGCTTCATTACAATTTAATGAGCATCATTAATATGTAAACAGAACAGTTACTTGAGTACATTTCTTAGTTGTCACAACGTGAGAGTGACTGCCAGTTTAGTTCTGGCACATCATTCCATAGTGGGGTGGGGTGGGGTGGGGGGTGTGTGTGTCTGTGTGTGTGTGTGTGTGTGTGTGTGTGTGTGTGTGTGTGTGTGTTTTGGGAAAAGAGTGGGGGGGAAGACAAAAGGAAGAACCTACTTTCTCAAACACTGATGTAAAAATAGTATTTTGCCAGTCAGAAACAATGTGAAAGGCACCTGTACTCTAACAGTGCAGCTCACACTGCAGCAAGTTGCCATTTGTGGATATATTACCAGCTCCTTTACAGGGAGAATAAAAGTTATGGAACTCTTCTGCCAGGTACTGCTGCACCTCCACATTTACAAGTGAACCCAACCAAACGTGTCTGAATGGGACCTGAAAATTATGTAACTGCCTCTGTTATAAATGTCATCTTAGACTCTCTTCTCTCATCAGGTTTTTTTTGAAGCCAAAGTATATCATAGAGTTCCTATCCAAAGAGGATTTGAATATTAAAAAATGGATGAAGTAGCCAGAATTCTTATTTTAATTAAAAATTAATGATTTTTAAAGTTAAATTCTGATGATTATTTACAAGAGTATCTTAAAATGGCAATATACGTACACATTATTACCGCAAAAGGATTCATGCAAAGCACTACTCTCCTTGAAGGAATGCTATAAAATCCACAGGCTCTCCAGGTAACATAGAACTTGTAAACTGTATTAGTTACTTAACACTAGGTCCAAGGGGAAAAAAAAAATCTATGAGCATAATTAGGAAAATCTTTAAATTCCAAGTGCATAACTGTTTCTTTACTAGAGTCTGCAAGTATTTTGCTATACAGAATTAAGGTCAATAGCAGAATATGTAGAAATACACATGTACAAGTATGTTCAAGTCACTAAAGAAAAATATTTATCCAGTAAGTAATACATTGGTAATAAAATCTGGGTCAATAAACTACCAATATAATAATGATTAATCACAACAAAAATCCATAACTTTAGGTGGGAATGAAAATTAAATTAAGGAAAACTTCAAATAATACAAGTATTATTAATGAAAGTAATAACAACATCTTTGTGTCAGTTCAAAGACTGGAAGATGAGACTTTTAGATGCAAATTTCTTAAATGTTTTCTTAAATGCTTACTCTCTATATACTAGGAACCTTCCTGTGCCTTACAACTCTGCATCAATATTGTTTTATTTGTGCTATAGGGATCATTCTGCCTTCTGACCTGTATGTCACTAGAAGCCTAAATTGTTCCTTCTGTCATAGAAAAACTCCCCCAAACATTCACCTGCTGCAAAGTCAGTCTTTCAGACTATTTTCTGAGATTAAACACATCTCCTCTGATAACATCAAGGGACAATATTTTTCACTGATGTAGTAATGGTCAGTCAGATACTGGTACCCATCTGTTCTGTATGCAGAGAACTAAATGTTAGCAAAATTACCTATCATTTGTTCTCTAATATAGAACAATTCTCCATCCTGTTGATAAAAAGCAAGATGTCTCCCCTTTTTTTTTTCTTTTTTTTTTTTTAGTAGACACAGTGTACTTCTCAACCTCCCGAAGTGCTCCCAGGAAGCTTGATAACTTGGGCGGTTTAGAAAGCACCAAAAGGCCTAATTCCACAAGATCAAAGAGTATATTGTATTAGATACACATGCAAAAACATACCTTTCTGAGTTTTTAAGTCCCAGGCCTAGCTTTTGGGCTACAAATCTCATCTACATCACTTGAGTGGCTTATTGGGAACAAAGTCAAACTACACGAAGAGCTTTTAACTGTTTTGGAAAGCTGATGTATCTGTTTGCTATATTTACCTTTCCCTTCAGTCTCAGGCTAGTGGATGCAAAGGAGGGAGTTGAGAACAGAAGATAACTCTTCTGCAACAGAAGCCATAATGCCTTAAAGACCATGACCATTGAGGTGTCAGAGCAGCTCCTATGCAGCAGTAGCATACAAATTTGGACATTTTTGATTCTGAGAATTGCAGTTACCTACCTTAATGTGGGTTTGTTTTTTCATGAAATGAGGTTTGCCATCAAGGACTTCAAAAAAAAAAAAAAGGAAATTTCAGATAGTTTTTTTTCAGATAACTTCTAAACTTAGTCACACTGTCACATACGCTATATCTTTATACCATGTTAACATTAATGAACAACCAACTTGTTTTATAGGGAATCTTGGAAGACCACTGGCTGATGAAAACATTGTGCGCACAGTAATTGAATTTCTGACTTACTTGCATCTTAAAGGTTAGTGAATACCTTTTTAATCTTTTGATTTTCTGGTGTGAAAATTGCTGGCCAGATAGGACTATTCTTGAATGTACAAGCCTGCTATAGAACTGCGTGTGCCAGACTCTGAACAGAATCTCTGGTGGCAGGGAGGGCCAATCCCATTTCAGTGCACTTAGGAGTAGGCCTGATTGGGAGAGGGCAGGTAGTGCTGCCAAATTGTAGGTCAATGAATATCCAGCATAGCTGGGTTCTAATACCATCTGATTACTCTGGGCACTATGAAAATAATAACAGCTGCTACTAAAATGCATGGACGCAGCTTTTAGAAGACAAACTAAATGCAGTCTGATTACATGGGAGTCAATATAAAACAATTCAATAACAAACTAAACAAGACCTCAGTTTAATGCCAGGAAGAGTTGGCTGAAATTCTGAAACACTTGTTAGTGGCAAAAGAAACACATCTCCCTTTCTGCATCTACAATAAAGTTGCATCGTAAATTGCAACAAAACTAAGCTGAATGTTGACAAACAGCTCAAAATGGAGTAAAAACTCCATGGAGTCTCAACATTGTGACAACAATTGTAAAAATGAGCTTACAGCAGATTCTGTAAGAAGGGTAATTTTATTATAGCATTAGGTGAAGAAGAAATCTGGCTGCTTCTGAGTTTTCATTAGTTTTTCTTTTTCTAAAAAAACAAACAAACAAACAAAAAAACCCAAACCAAAACAACCAAACCCACAATTCTGAGCTCTTAAAAACCTCTTCAGCCCTTCTAAAATTATCTACAAAATATTCAAAAGCATTATATATATTTGCAAGGAAAACAACAGGAAGGGGAAAAGTTCTTTTTACTGCAAATATTTGAGGAATTTTCCATCTCAGAAAGCAGACCGTTCAAGAAATCTGTAACTTCTATACTCTTACCTTTGTATACAACAAGTTAGAAGCAATTCTGTGGCAAGTACATGCTCTAGAAAAGTTACAAAGAACTGTGTGTTACATTTGTATTTTAATTATTAAAAGAGACTTTCAAGAGATCTGTTCATTTTCTGTGTATGTAGGAATCAAAATTCTGTACCTCTTTGGCATGATTTTCTAAATCTCACTACTGAAAATTATCGACCCAATGTTTATTGAATCAACTTTGCATTTGAAACAAAAACTTTTTATGGTTATTACAAAGGGCCTGAGATAATGCAAATATATATTTAAAGTGGAAGAGCATGTATATTTACTGTGGACAAAGTAGCAGCTTGTTAGTCGTGCCACTGAAGAAGAAGGAGCCCTAAATACTCTTTACTCCTATGTGAGCCTAGCAAGTAAACCCAATAACTGGACACAACAGAAAGGCTGCAAAACATGTTGAGCTCAAGCACGCGCTCTCTGAAGAGGACTCTAAGAGCTGCTAAGATGGGCAAGAAAATAAAATGCATAGAAATACAAATTACTTATTCCATGGGACTAATGAGCAAAAAAGGCTGTATTGTAACTCTGAGGAAAAATTCCTTGTTTAGGGGAGTGATGACAAACAGCTGTTTTTATTCAGAAAAGATGGCATTATTACCTGTCCTTATAAAAAAAGGGATCTCCAGATCATATAAAATGGCTTTTTCCTGAGGTAGATCTTGTATTCCCAGGTTTTAAAAGACATAGAATGTTATCATATTATCCCTTAATATTTACTGGCAAGACCTAGTACAAACTATTACACAACATCAGAACTGTAGATTTAGGAGGTGAAAGACATACTTTACTATGATAGAGACACTTCAATATTTTTGCTCAAATGAAAATTTACTACATTAAATATATTAGTTTAGATATATGCCTTGGATGAGAGGGAGAAAAATCCCACTCATGGGATTCAGATACAGATAATCGTTATTCTGATTAGAGATACATTTTGATCTGCAAGATAAAGTGAATATTTTAACTACGAAGAAGTATCTTGGTGATAACTAAAAGTGGCCTTCAGCTCTTTCTCTTGAAAATTGCTCACTCAGCTTTAAAGGCTTCCCATATAGAGCAAGCTGTAGGGTGGCACCTGTAACTGGATAATACTAAAACCTTTGAGATGCCGGGATCCAGCAATATCAATTGATATATGAAATTGATATCATTTCATTGTTATTCAGGCACTGCTGTTTCTAGAAAGGTGAAATTATAGATGGAATGTAGGGAGAGGCGCTTGGAAGATCTCGCGATTATGGAAAGGCATATATAAAGCAATTGCACAGTTAATAAATTGAGCAAATAGCAACCACCATATTGGTGTCTGTGCTTTTGTTCCTGTGAAGGTTTTAACCTCCTGCAAGGGTTAGCTGTGATCCGAGGGCCACATTTCTGTGGATTGGCAGGTAGAAAAAGACAGCTAATACCTTACCACTACAACGGAAGATATGATTAATGTTCAAAAGAAAAACTTAATACTTTATAAATTAAAATATGAGAAGTTCAAGGATTTGCTGCTTATAGATGAGAGAAGAAAAATATAAAAATGTATATGACTGAAATGAGATTTCATTATTTAATTGCCAAGGTTAATATGCATATTTACAGATGTTAATTCTCTCCTTTTTTATTTTTTTCCTCTTTGCAGAGGTGGGAGCACTTGACAAACTATCTTCACCGGAGGAAACAAACCAGTCTTGAAGAAGAATGCATTTTTATTTTGTTGTAGTGTAGATTTAGATTGAATTCTAAACAAAAAATCCAAATGAGCTGAAGATGAGAAGTATTGCTTGCATTAATCTGATAAATGGTAAACAGCAATCTGTCCTCTGGGTTTTTTGTTTGTTTCGTTTTTAGTTTTTGTTTGCCCTTTTTTTTTTCTCTCTCCTGTGATGTTATAGTGTAAACTTTTGCCTTGGCAAAATTTTTCTGTAGGTAAATGATAAAATAAAAATAAAGAGCAACTACATTGTTTCATTTTAAAATTAAATACGTACCAGCACACAACACATCACAGACAAAGCCCAGGTTAAATTGTAAGATTACACTGCATCTATACTCTTCAAAATTACAGTAAAAATAGAACACGAATACTACACATTGAGTACTTTAGCTAACTAAGAAAAAGAACAGTGACTTCAAACTGCTGTTCTACAGTCTTTTTTGGTCACAAACCTGTCTGTACTTATATGCTTCATGGAAACCTTACTTCATGTTTTCATAGACATGAAATAAGTTCATTTTAAATTTCATACTATTTGCCTGTAATACACCAGCCCGTGCATACCTTCACGCAATGCAAATTTAACTGGTCTGTACAGGTAATAGGTTTACACAAAACCTGTGTGGAGGATTCCCATTCCTATGTCATCAAAAATACGGAATCTGTATTCTTTAATGAAGAAACTCTCCCATTCACTCCAAGATTAAAAATATATATATTTTATTTTATGAGATGCTTTAGTCTGAGTCCAACAAAGCACTTCAATGCATGCTTTATCCCTAAGGAAGAGCTTTGATATACCAGGACCAGCATGCCAGGCCCATACACAATAAATGTCAGACCAACAATAAGGAAAGGTTTGAGACGATACAGAATCTTAGAAAGTTTTTCACATTCAGATGACTTCGACTCTCTGCATAGTGCAATGAAATATCATCCTTGCTAAATGGGGCTGTGCACTAGAATGCACAGACTGACAGAAATTTTGCAAAACATTATTACATGATCTGTTTTTCACTTTTAGCAGAACAAAATACATTCTAGGATACCATTCAAGCCACTAGTGTCTAGTTTGAACCCACAAAGTTATCTCTCCTTGTCAATCAGCTTGTGCTCTTTCTCTGATAAACACTCAGCCTCTGCCCTTCAGGCAATGTTTTACTGTTTGGTCTTTGTGTTTGGTTTTGGGGTGTTTTTTTTAAGAATAATAAAAAAGTATACATGTGGCTAGTTCAACATTATTTGGTAAATTGATGGACTTCCAGAAATGTGAAAAAAAAATATAGTGAAATTTAACTTTTGTACATCAGTATAGTCCTGTAATTCCAAATTTTCAGTTTCACTAGTAATGTCTACATTTCCCATCATAAACTTGAAGCAGAGCTCACTAAAACCAAGAGGCATTCTTTTCATTGACTTCCATGGACCTTGGTTGATTGACTGCTAAGAACCAGTATTGATTTGCATAACTCAGTAATTTTCTATAGCAAAGCAGCCGAAACTATGATCAAATAAAAAGAATATAATCTTAGTATTGGATTTCTTTCTTTTGAAATAGGATAAAAAATTGAGTTTAAAATTAGAAAACAGCTATTACTTAAATCGAATTAGCATACTGTCAGCATGGTGGAATGGTCTTAGAATGTTGTTCTGCTGATGAAGGATGTCAATTAAACTCAGATACCAGAGTGAAAAGAGTAGGCTGATTTTACTATTAATAATTAAAGGATATAACTAACACAGAAAATAAGCAGTAAGAAAAATACAGAATAGTATACTTAAATTATTACTACATACAGTTAAGCAAGGCAATGCACCTAATCGTTACCACATGATGGGGAGAACAGTGATAAAGGCAGATCCATCCCCACTCGCACTCGTTCCCACCCCCAGCCCCGCAGCGCTGGGGAGCCCCGGTCACAGCGAGGGTTGGCAGAGCCCGTCCCGGGCAGGGGGAAATCCTACGCGGTGCCTCTGCCTGCAGCTGAGGCTTCCAGAGTCGCTGTGAGCGGGTCCAGCCTTACAGACCCCAAAAATCAGCAAGCCAGAAGAGTTGGCACCTTTGTTTTGAGCGGGAATATCTGGTTTCATCCTCCTGTTGGATTCCACCCAAAGCCTGGCCAGGGCTGGGGCAGGGGGAGACCAAGGGAGTTTCTAACAAGGCCAAGCACTTGGATTCTTGGCCTTGGGCAAGGCTAAATGAGGGAAGCTGGATACATTCTCACAGCATTTCATCCTCACCACTGATTATATTCAGTCTAAACTACATCTTTCACTAGTGAGCATACATATTTCATTAATGATCAGATACTAATAATTAATACAGATTTTACTAATTAACAGATACTAATAATGTTTAGTTGTGAGGTTCATCTTTGTTTCAGGTCAACTTTATTTCAGGGCCTATTATTCAGGCCCTAGCACTACAAATATTTATCTGAGATTCTGAAATTTGAGATTATTTGAAATACTGAAAAACTCACAGGATCAAATTTCTCGGAAGATTTACATCACTGTCTAAGCAGGGAGGCCCACAAGTTCTTATTCACTGTGTTGCACCACTATATACATATGTTATAGAAAACACAAAGAATCATTATAATCTAATTACCAAAAGCAGTCCACATATTTTCACTTAATAATTACTGCATTCAAACACATACTGGTAATATTCCAAAATACAGAGAGAGGTAAAATATCCAGACTGTTTCTTCACTCTCTACAGCTCTTACCTTTGCAAAAACTAGGGGGCAAAAACAAAGGGGCATTTTTCTGGATCTATTTCAGTAGCATTATTATTTTCTTAACATTCTTATTTCATTTATTTGCTCATTCGCATACACTATATCTCACTTTTTTGTAGGATTAGTTCAAACACATATCTGCCCTAAAGACATAAGCCAAAGTCTAAAAAGCTGAGTAGAACTTTGTTGTGATGTTTGCCAGTAAGTTACCAAGCATGAAAATTTAACTCTGGTAATGAACAGAAGGCTTGCATGATGCTGAATGACTGGACAATAAAATGGCAGATGAAATTAAGTGCTGATGCAAGCAAAGTAATATACACGGAGAAAAATAACTCTAATTTTACATATACATAATGATGGTCTAAATTATCTCTGGAAAAATAGCTTAGACCCATTGTACACAGTCCTCTAAAAATGTAATTTTAAACCTCAGAAGCAGGTAAAAAAGCAAATGGAATGTTAGGAATTATAAAGAAAAAGTAGCTAAAACCAAACCAGAAAACATCATTATGCCACCATTCCCAACTTTGACACCAGCTACAGTTCTGGCCAGCTCATTAAAAAAAAAAAAAAAAAAAAAAAAAAAAAAAAAAAAAAAGAAAAAAGAAAAAAAGAAAAAAAAAAGCACTATAGAACAGAAAAGCTATAGAGAAAGGTGATGAATATCTTCAGCAACAGGGAACAATTTTCATTCACATACAGGTGTGACTTTAGCTAGACAAAGAGACTGATAAGGAGAGAGGTGACAGAGTCTTAAATGTCCTGATGAAAGTGCTCAGTGAATTCACTTCTTGTAACCCAGGCTTTAAAGATCACCTGACAAAATGATCAAGTGACATTTTTAAACCCCACCCCCAGAAAAAGTCCTTTTCCGTAAATCTCATGATGGAATTAATTGTGGCACTGACAGGCACAGGACATTGTGGAGACCATAGGTCCTGAAATGAAACAGTCATATTCATGGAAGAAAAGTCCTTCAAGGTCCAAATGAAACCACTACCTGAAAAAAATCTAATTAAATTGCTTCTTAGGACACATTACAGACATACGTGCACAGAGCTTTAAAACAACTCCTAGAACCTGATCCATAATTCAGGCGTTAATTATACAGGGCTTCATCTGCACAGCATCTAATGCCATTTTACAAAAGAAACTTGGAATTTACACATTTTTTTGGCTACAGATTCTGCAGAAATGAATACTACCTGTAACCAAAAAGCTGTAATCTTACACAGTACTTCAGTCAAGTACTCTCACTAAGGCTTATTTAAATGCAGATCAGTTCAGCCTAAACGAGGGAATTTCTGGTGGCACAGCTGACATAAACCAGTCTGTTCAGATCAGGAAGCCATTAGGCAGCTGACAGGATACGTGTATTTTCCCACCTGTCTACTCATGTAAAGGTCAGACTGAAAAATTAGCATCAAAACATTAGATAGGACTCAGAACGCTGAGGACATTTGAAGGGGCTTGATTCTGGGGTCGACATAATTCTGCTTTCAATGTTACAATAGTTAAAGCTTTAGTTTCCTAAAGATTCTGACAATTTCTTAGCTGTTCTTTTGCCTTTTAAACAAGATGAGGAGATATGATACGAGGTATGTGAAGCAACACATTAATAACTCATAGAAAAAGCAATAAAAGTATTTTTACATTATTTCAGAATATGTGATACAAAAAACCAACAAGATAGAAATTAAGACCAGGAAATACTTCATAATTTGCCCGGGATATAAATTACCTCAGGAGATTTTGAAGGCAGATATGAGTATTAAAACAAAGTCTAGAGCTGAGTGTTATTAGCAGAACAAATGATTTTTCACCAATTAACAAAGTACATTAGCAGAGTGCAGTACTTCTACTGTTTTGTGTTCTATCATTTATTTTTGAATAAATGTAAATAATAATTCTGATACTTATTTTTGTGAGGACTGAGTATGACATGGACCAGCCATAGAGAACTGCAGCTCACAGATTGCTTAACTACTCAGACTCAGTAGCTGGGTATACAAATGTCAGCTGCTGAGATTTTTAATATCTCAGAGCACAGGGTATTTGTCAATTCATGGGTAACATTCAGCACCTCCCAGAAATGAGCTGCAGATGAGAATTATATTATCCCCTTGCTTGTAAAGCACCACATCATTCCCAAATACTTGATCAACTTCCCTTGAGATCCAACTCATATATGTTGCATCATCTGTGGTATTTCTAATTGAATTGATCTCCACAGATTTTCCAGTAATTGAGTACATATAAATCATACAGCCTTTCTGAGTGCTGGGAGACTTGAGTCTCATATAGAATGTGTCTCTAAGGAGAAATTCTAAAATATCAAAATATGATGTATCACGAATCAGGATAAAATGTTACCATTCAATTTGCAATTTTTTTTTTCACTTTGGTACAGTTTCCAATATAAATGTTGACTATTAATCACTTAAAAGCACTTAAATAATTAATTCAGAATGTATTACTTATATAATTTCCCCTTCAGAATGTCATGTCTTCTTGAAATT